ACCTCCTCATGTTGCATACTTTCGCTGGCCCAGAGAGACAGAAAACCTGCAGAATTCAGGGTGGGTTTCCTCCGAAAAGCAGATGGGAAGCCCCAGAGAGAGCTTCCTCCTGCAGGGTGGCTTGGGTTTGGAGGGACTCAGGCCTGGACCCAGAAACTTAGTAGAGTAATGCCAGGAAGTTGAGGCCTTTCTTAGCTTGAATGATGGCTCCCGACTACTTCCAAGCGGAATATCTGGAACCTGTCCTCCAGCATGTGGGAAGGGAGGGTGTATTCCTGGTCTCGAATGGTTTCATTGAGTACCATTTTCTCTGAAGAGTGGGTAGCCTGACACCTTCCTTGGGGTATGAGTAGAGGGAATATTTACAGCAGAGGGGAAAGGCTGGAGCTGGACACTGGGGGAACCCGCTGGGGTGGGGCCGCGCCTTCAAGTGGACTCCCGTGTGCAGTGTCTGCTGGCTCTGCTCACGCCATCAGGGGCGTTTGCTGAGCTTGCAAGGGGACTTTGGCCCTTAACCATTTGCAGCAAATGGGGAAGTCTCAGGTATTTGCACCCATTGGAAATAAAAGTGAAGCTAGGAGTCTACTGTTGACTCGCCTCCTATATTTCTGGTTCTCTTTGTTGAGGTGTTTGTGGGGGATTTGGAGACACCAGCCCTTACCCCTCTTGCCTAGTCCTTGCCTGGTAAGGATGAAGGGTGGAGAGGGAGGAGGAAGCCGTACCAGAGACCCTGTGGCTGGTGGACGGACTTGCTGGGGTTTTTCTCTGTCCCTTAAATAGATAAAACTTTGGAGAGAACTGAATCATGATGTGCCTTCTCCCTGACATCTGCACTCTATTTTTTTTTTAAGACAGGGTCTCACTTTGTCACCCTGGCTGGAGTGCAGTGGTGCAATTGTAGTTCACTGTAGGCTTAACCTCCTGGGCTCAAGCGATCCTCCTGCCTCAGCCTCCTCAGTAACTGGGACTACAGGCATGTATCACCACACTCAGCTAATTTTTACATATTTTTTTTAAGAGATGGGGTCTCACTATGTTGCCCAGGATGATCTCCAACTCCTGCTCTCAAGTGATCCTCCCACCTCAGCCTCCTGAGTAGCTGGGACTATAGGCGTGTGCCACCACACCCAGCTAATTTTTAATTTTTTTTTTTTTTTAAGACAGAGTCTCATTCTGTCACCCAGGCTGGAGTGCAATGGCACAATCTTGGCTCACTACAACCTCTGCCTCTTGGGTTCAGGTGATTCTCCTGCCTCAGCCTCCCAAGTAGCTGGGACTACAGGCACCCACCACCATTCTTGGCTAATTTTTTGTATTTTTTAGTAGAGATGGGGTTTCACTATGTTGGCCAGACTGGTCTTGAACTCCTGACCTTGTGATCTGCCCACCTCAGCCTCCCAAAGTGTTGGGATTACAGGCATGAGCCACCATGCCCAGCTTGATTTTTAAATTTTTTGTAGAGATGGGATCTCACTATATTGCCTAGGCTGGGACATGATACACTTTGGTTTTTATTTTTGTTTTTGAGATTTAATTTTACTCTTGTTGCCCAGGCTGGAGTCCAATGACTCGATCTCGGCTCACTGCAACCTCTACCTCCTGGGTTCAAGCGATTCTCCTGCCTCAGCTTCCTGAATAACTGGGATTACAGGCATGCGCCACCACACCTGGCTGATTTTTATATTTTTAGTAGAGATGGGGTTTCACCATGTTGGTCAGGCTGGTCTCCAACTCCTGACCTTGTGATCCACCCACCTTGGCCTCCCAAAGTGCTGGGATTACAGGCATGAGCCACCGCACCTGGCCCTAATTTTGTATTTTTAGTAGAGACAGGGTTTCTCCATGTTGGTCAGGCTGGTCTTTAACTCCTGACCTCAGGTGATCCGCCCGCCCTGGTCTCCCAAAGTGCTGGGATTACCGGTGTGAGCCACTACACCTGGCTAGCAACACTTTAAATGTTATTTTATTACTTTTCTTTTCAAGGTTGTTCTTTTCATATTTTGCCCAGATTCTACCTAGAAAAGACATATAAGACTTAGGAGATGTCGGTACTTTGCATCCTACCTACACTGCTCTACCTGGAGGAAGACATTTTCTGGATTTTACAAAGCAAATCAAATCTGATGTTTGTAGCTTCCAGTGGGCTACAGAGCTTCCTCCTTCAGGGTCACGTGGGTCTGGAGAGCCTGATATTTACAGCTTTCAATGTACTTGTAACAGTTTTGTTTTGTTGAGATGGAGTCTTGCTCTGTTGCCCAGGCTGGAGTGCAGTGACACAGTCTTGGCTCACTGTAACCTCCACCTCCCAGTTTCAAGCAATTCTTCTGCCTCAGCCTCTGGAGTAGCTGGGACTACAGGCACGTGCCACCACACCTGGCTAATTTTTGTATTTTTAGTAGAGATGGGGTTTCACCATATTAGCCAGGCTGATCTCGAACTCATGACCTCGTGCCCCACCTGCCTCGGCCTCCCAAAGTGCTGGGATTACAGGCCTGAGCCACCTTTGCCCAGCCCCTCTGCTAGCCCTTATAAACCTCATACCAGTACTTTGAGGTCAGAATTATTCAAGAGCTTACTGAGAAAACAGGCCCCAAAACGCTAAGTGATTCGCCATGTGGCATGAATAGTAAAGAGGAGAGCTGGCGTTTGAACTCAGGTCTGGCTCGACCTCAGCATGAGTGATCTTTTGTCCCTGTGCCCCAGGACTGCAACCTGTCACCAACACTCCACCAACCTATGGATCTGTGCTCAAAAGAGTCCTTTCACATCATAAACCAGAATCCAATCCATAAACCAAAAGCCCGGGCTTAGAATCACATTGTGTGGAGCCGGAGTTTGGTGGAGTCCCTGATTCAAAATGTTTGACGAGGAAGCCTGTTTGTCTTCTGTTGGGTGTTTGGAGCCCAAGACACCTGAGTTCAGAGTCCAGCATTGTCACTTGAGTCAGCGTTGGCAGTGTGGGGATGTGACTCTGCTTCTGAACCGCAGTTTCGCCATCCATGCTAGTGGCATTGTGAAGAGGAAGGCAGGTAACACGGGTGAAGCTCCCGGCTCCAGTGGGCCTTCAAGGATGGCAGCCACTCCTGCCTCCTACTGGGGCTGCACTCACTGCCTGTTTTGGGGAGCCCTGTGGGGTTTTTTAGCTGGCCCTGCCCGTGGTGGAGAAAGAGGGACCCACCCATCGCTGATTGGGCCCAGAGGAAATGAGGACACTGTGAGAAGCCAAGACAGCAGGTGTGGCCCTGGAGAGGCCGTGGGGATTGGCCTGGACATTGGTTCCTTTTCTGCTGTTACCTAGATATCTACCAACTCCAGTTCCGGTTTGCTAAAGACAGGAAGCCAGACCTCCTCCATGGGACCCGGAGTGGGGGGTGGGGGCAGCTGTAGGACTTAACCTTCTTCGGAGGTCAGGAGACCAGAGCTGGGGTCCTGGGCCTTGGAACAGACTCTCTGTCTGTCTGGGCAGGAGCCAGGAGCCTGGGGTAGGTGTGCCTAGCCTTGAGGGTAGATCAAGACAGGCAGCTGGGAGAAGGTGTGGCCCCATCGGGCCTTGCTTCTCTTCCCTCCACTGAATACAGGTTGAGGGGCTGGGAGCAAGGCCAGAAGGAAGGATCAGACTGGCAAGCCTCACAGCTTGGGCCTCCAACATTCAGGAAGTTGAACACTTTAAGTACGGTGTCATCTGGTAGTCATAGTGGCTTCTTACAGGCCAGGGTTTTTGGGGTTTGGGGCTTCTAAGGAGTCAGACAATCGTGCCACTTACTACCTTTGTTATTCAGAGCAAACACCTCTGCCTCTCCAAGCCTACTTTCCTCATCCATGCAGGGAGAATCAGCATTCCAGCCTCACGGGGTATTAGGGGGATTAATGGAGACTGTGTACACACTGCTAGAATGCCTAGCAGTGTGCCTGGTACTAATAAGTGGCAATAAACGCAGCCATTGCTTTTTAGATGTTTATTATCCCAAGGACTAGGAATGGAGCTCTCAGCTCTGTGGACCCAGCAGGTTACCAGGGAGCTGACAGCAAGCAAGTTGTGAATGGGGCAGGAATGAGGGTGTGGCATCCAGGGCCACAGGACCGTCTGCCTAGGCTATCTGGGCCGTGGGGCTGTTGAGGGTCCCAGGAGGGGATGGAGGAGGTGGGGAGTCAGTAGGTCCTACCCCTGCCCCTCTATACCCTTCTTTTCTGAGGACTGGGGAGACCTAGTGCCCCCCTGTTGGCTACCAGGTACCAGGGTAATGGAAGCTTGCACTGGAGGGCTGATTTGGCTCCCTTGCTGCTGTTAAAAGCAGAACAGTGGGGCCCTGGAGCCTCTGGGGCTGGGCTGCTTGCCAGACTTCCGCAGAAACAGCCAACGGAGCAGTCTTGCCCCCTGCTCACTGAGGGGGTGGGGACTGCTGCACCAGCCTCACTCCAGCCCCCACCTCCCTGCACACCTTACTCCATAAACCTGGAGCCTCAGGAGGAGCCTGGCACCTGGGCTTCTGCTTCCACCTGGTCAGGAGGGCAGGGGGCATCCTGAGTGCCCTTCCAGTCTGGGGCTGAGAAGGCCTAAGCTCTTGGAAATCAAGTGAGGGCCTGGCACTGCCAGGGCCCCTCCCTGTGACGTGGGGCCCCTCCCACCCATTCTCTGCGTGTTGCCCTGCGGATTCAGAGTTCCAGGCAGGCACTTCTCACTCGCAGCTTCGTGGCCCTGTCAGGAGGGAGTAGCGCCAGGTGCCTGACTCCCAGAGGTAGGAGATCCCACGGGCAGCCCCAGAGCCCGCCTCTAGAGCACCTTCAGTCCCGGGCAGGCAGAATAAGTCAGCTTTGGGAGCCAGTTCTTGGTTAGGTTGCTCAGGGCTGGTGGCTTCCTGTCCCGCGGCTGGCCATTTCTCCCATGGGTGGGGCAGGTGCTGGAAGGCATTAACTCTGGAGGTGCAGGCAGGGAGAGCCCTGCCACCGGAGAGTCCCCAGGATCCCAGCTCTCACCTGCTCCCCGCACCTTCTCTTTGCAGACGCCCTGCTGGCGGACTTGGAGTCCACCACCTCCCACATCTCCAAACGGCCCGTGTTCTTGTCAGAGGAGACCCCCTACTCATACCCAACTGGAAACCACACATACCAGGAGATTGCCGTGCCACCCCCTGTGCCCCCACCCCCGTCCAGCGAGGCCCTTAATGGCACGATCCTTGACCCCTTAGACCAGTGGCAGCCCAGCGGCTCTCGATTCATCCACCAGCAGGTGAGGTGGGGACACGGGCAAGGAAAGCTGAAGAGGCTGTGGGGCAGAGGGAGCTTACCTGCCAGGGGCCCTGGGGAGCCAGTGGATGGAATGGAATTGGGGCAGTAGGCCTGCCCCCACCAGAGACTGCTCTTCCCACCCACCACGTGAGTGGGGCAGTGACCAAGTGGTTAATCACAGGTCTCCTGGCCCGACTGTGGAAATTCCCTGGTGAGACTAGCTGTGGGCAGGAGTCTCCTGGGGGTGACTTGGGCTGCTCCTGGCCCCGTTCCTTTTTCTCCCCTCGGGGTAGCCTCTGAGCATTCTCCGTCTTGCAGCCTCAGTCCTCGTCACCTGTGTACGGCTCCAGTGCCAAAACTTCCAGTGCCTCTAACCCTCAGGACGGTGTCGGCTCTCCGTGCTCCCGAGTGGGTGAGGAGGAGCACGTCTACAGGTACCACCCCAGCCTGCCCCAGGCAACTTCCCTCCTGCTCAGAAATCTCAGGGACCTGGCCGGGGTGGGAGGCAGCGGGGCGACTGGCCCTTGCGGGGTTCTTCTGGTTTAAGCTGCAGAAGGCCTCTCGATGGGCTGCCTACCTAATCAGTGCCATCTCCATGCAGTGGACATTCTGGGCTGTTGCAGCATCTCCGTGTAGCTGGGGAGCTGAAGCAAGGCTTCCTTCCTGCCCTCTTCCCACCACGTCCCTTCCCCACCCTCTGTCCTCTTGCTGGGGAAGACTTCGCATCTCCTCTGCCTCGCTGTCCTTGGGAATTTGGGAGCTGCCGAGCCAGTGCAAGGCCAGGGAGCATCTCTCACTGTCTTCTTTCCTTTGCCTCTCAAAGCTTCCCCAACAAGCAGAAATCAGCCGAGCCTTCACCCACTGTAATGAGCACCTCCTTGGGCAGCAACCTTTCAGAGCTCGACCGCCTGCTGCTGGAACTGAATGCCGTGCAGCATAACTCGCCAGGCTTCCCTGCAGGTAGGACCAGCTCCCTGGGCCAGGGTCTGCCGGGCCCCAGGGCCCACCTGCTGACCTCTGGATCCCAGGAGGGCTCAAGAGCTGAGCAGTCTTTTTCTTTCCTCTCTGCAAGATGAGGCCAACTCAAGCCCCCCGCTTCCTGGGGCCCTGAGCCCCCACTATGGTGTCCCAGAGAATAACAGCCCACTGGGGGGCAAAGCTGGGCCCCTGACGAAAGAGAAGCCTAAGCGGAATGGGGGCCGGGGCCTGGAGGACGTGCGGCCCAGTGTGGAGAGTCTCTTGGATGAACTGGAGAGCTCCGTGCCCAGCCCTGTGTGAGTACCTGCTAGGCTCTCCCTGGGCAGGAAAGGGCTGGCCCAGCCCACCCCGGGTCCAATGTCTGTCCTCTTGGCCGTGGCATCACCCATTCCCTCCAGTGTCTGCTGTCTGCCAGGCACTGGGGATAGTGGTGAGTCTCGTGGATACCATCCCTGCCTTCAGCCAGTCACTACCAGTCAGAAAGGACAGACGTTGTACATGCTAAGAGCACCTGGAGTTTAGCAGCTCTTAGCACAGGCTTTGGGGCCACACAGTAGGGTTTGCATCTTGGCTCTCACAGTTCCTGTCAGCCCTCAAGCCTCAGTTTTCCCATCTGTCAAATGGGACATGGGTTTATGGGATCGCTGCAATAAGACCACCTACCTGAATAAGGGTGAGAACCAGTCATCCACCTAAAGTGCTTGGAATGGTTTCTGGCTCGCGGTGCATGGCACACTTGGTGAGTGCTATGCATGCGAGCTCTTATCAGTGCTGTTGTGTTCCTGCAGGAGCCTCGCCTCCACATCCAGGGTTGTGGAGGAAACACACAGAGAGCCTGAGCTTGTTTCACAGGCCAGCTTTCAGTTGGGCTGGGGGCCAGAGGCGTCTTGCTGGCACTTCCTGGGGCCGTTGAACTGCCCTTTCTTCTCACCCAGTGAAGGGGATGGTGGGACCCCAGTGTCCAAGCTGAGATGTCAATTGGATCCCTGGGAATTGTGGGGCTGACTGTGGGCTCCCCACTCATGCTGTGCCACCCTGCAGCCCTGCCATCACTGTGAACCAGGGAGAGATGAGCAGCCCGCAGCGCGTCACCTCCAGCCAGCAGCAGACACGAATCTCGGCCTCCTCGGCCACCAGGGAGCTGGACGAGCTGATGGCTTCGCTGTCGGATTTCAAGGTGCCCTGCAAACCCTCCATCTTCCCTGCCCTGCCGCCCCTCCCTCAGCCTTCTCCTCCCTTACCTCAGTGTGAGTAGCTGGACCTTGGCCCCTCAGTGTTTGGGTCCCTTGCCCCTGAGCCAGGGACCCTGTCATGCGCTGGCCTTGCCGTGATGCCAAGAGACAGGCGAGGGAGGGCCGGGCCAGCCTGCCTGAGGATTGCAGTAGCCAGTGAAGGCAGAGAAGTACTCCGCTGGGACATTCCTTCCTCCCTGGGTGTTCCCAGCCACTCAGGTCGAGAGGATCAGGAGGCTGAGACACTGGGACAAAGAACCTTGTGTTGATGGCTGCTCTTGGTGGGGGAGGGTGTTCTCTGCTGGGCCATGTGGGACTTGGGAGCCCGTGCCTGAGAGGTCATTTGCCCTGGAGCCCCATCTCCCACGCTACATCCCTCCTCAAAACATCCTCTTTCTTTCTGCCTCTGCTCCTGAATCCACAAGCCTCCCTCAATACCCTTCTCCCATCCTTCTCTCTTGCCCTCCAGGGCCTCTGAGTTCCCACAAGCTCTGTCTGTGGGAAACCATGGGGCCAGTCTTCCACGAGGTACCCTTCCCATTCCCTCCCCTGCCAGGCCTCCCCAGTCCTGCCAGGCCTGAGATGTTTAATTTACAGGATACAGGGTTTCCATGGGGATTGATACTGACAGAACTCACCAGCAGTTGCTGACTTCACACTTCCAAGTGGGTCAGCTGGAGACCTTTGGGGCATGACCTAGGGAATATGAGATGGGGAGTGAAGGGTCCCTGCACCCTTGGGCCTGATGGTGCCTCCTTGCCTCCCTCCAGCTGGGGTTTCACGGTGGGAGATGAGAGTGTGGCTGGGGTGGAGGGTTGAGCATGGGCCTGTGACGCTTGCGTGCTGTAGTTCCAGCTCCAGGCCAGTGGTTCCGAGCAGCCATGGTCAGAAGCCAGTAAGTTGGATTCAGGGCCTGGCCTAAAGGAGCTGTGCCCCGGTGCTTGTAAGGCTGATGCTTTCTCAGACAGCCTGTACCCTGATACCAGGAGAGGCAGCCCTGGTTTTAGTCAGATCCCTGGAGCTAGGACTTGGGGTGTAGGAAAGCTGGGATTGTCTAGGAGGATGCAGCTGAGTTGGGCCGGCATCCAAGGAGGGCTCAGCAGCCCCCTGGGGCTGGGTCTCTCTCCATCTGTGCCTGGCTGTCTTCCCTAGTCACCCGGCTCCCCATTTGTCCGCCACGCCTTGGTCTTTTCTTCCTCATGTCTTGCCTGGGTGGCCCCACAGACCTGGCTCGGTGGCTGCTTTCTCGTGCTTGGGTTTGATGAGGGCTAAGTGCGTAAAGCCCAGGAAAGTCTTTTTGGGACCTGGGTCTCCTTCAAGGGCCAGTCCTGCGCGTCAGCTTTGCAGCCGCCTTGGTCGATATGGAAGCTGGCCCTCAGAGCCCTCAGGCCGAACACACTGCCTGCAGGGCGCAGCTTTCCTGACTCCCCCCATCTCTCTCTTTTTCCCCTCTGCCTTTCTCTTTTTCCTCCTTCAGACCAGCTCCTCCACAGTGCCTCTGAGCGCCCCGGGGCTGCTGCCCAGCCCTGCTCCGTCCTCACACAGCTCCCTTCCTCCTTCTCCTTCTCCTCCTCCTCCCATGCCATCTGTATTCCTGCCACCCACCACTAAACCCTCCCCTCGAGGCCAGGGCCACACTCCGGAGTCCCCTTGTACTGAGCAGAGTGGACGAGGCCTTCTACCTCCTGTGGCCCCCAGCTGGCTTGATTTGGCTGGTCTTGGGGTGATGCCTGGCACCCTCAACTCAAGGTCTCCCTCTGTGGAGGGTTCTCTGGGGCCAGTGGGCACAAAGAGCCAGGGCCGAGATTGGAGGCACCTGCCGAACCTCACAAGTGAGCTCTCTGGGGCTCCTCGCTGCCACACTGTACCCCTTCCTGGGAGCACAGGTGCCCAGGAGCCTGGGGAGCCCCAGAGCCCATCAGCTAGCCCTTCATGCTCAGAGGAGGCGGTGACAGCCACATGGGAGAAGCCATGGGCTTCGGAGGTATTCAAGCCTGAGAGAATCCCCCCATGTGGAGCTGCTCAAAGCTTCCAAGAAGTAACAGAGCCAGCTGTTGTGGCAGTGGACCGGCAGGCCATCTTCCCAGAGACCTGGACTCTCACAAAGGAACACGGCCTACAGCAGGAGGGGCCGAGGCCAGAGTCAGGGAGGCTGCGAAGCAGCTGCCCTGCCCCAGTTACCAGGGAGCAGCTAGGTGGAAAGATGCCTGAGAAGGGAAGCGTGGCCAGGCCCACCCAGGGACCTGAGACCCAAAGGAGCCCAGAGGGTGCCACCGAAGCTGCCACCCAGGCCGGGAAGGAACAGCCACAGCTTCTGTGTGCCATGGCCACAGGCACACCCAGCGCCACAGAGAGGATTTCCACCTCTGGCCAGGCAGGCGCCAGCTAGCATGGCTGCTGGGCATGGCCCTTGGCGGGTCTGAGTGTGGCCACTCCTCGCTAACCGCATGCAGCCTCCCACTCTGCGCATGTCTGCTCTGCTTGGGCAGAAAATGCTGAGATGCCGTGGCCGGACCTGACAATCAGCTACTTGGCAGTGGCCTCTGCAGACCCGGCATTTCTCATAGCATCAACCCACCTCTTGCTATGTTAAGGCTTTTTCCTTTCAGATAAGCTGGCCTCATCTGAAATGGTTTAGAAGCATGGACTTTGGAACCAGGTAGACCTAGATACAAACCACACCTCTAACACTTGCTACCTCTGTGACCTTGGGCAACCCCTCCCTGAGCCTCAGTTTTCTCATCTGTAAGATGGAGAGAATAATAGGCCATTTTCATTAGGGTTGTCCAGAGAATTAAATGAGATAGTTCCTGGAAAGTATTTAGAACACAGCATGCGGTCCCTCGATAGGCTATGGCTGACAGTACTTTTATTATTTGCTTTTTTTTTAAAAAGACAGGGTTTCACTGTGTTGATCAGGCTGGTCTCGAACTCCTGACCTCAGGTGATCTGCCCACCTCAGCCTCCCAAACTGCGGGGATTACAGGCGTGAGCTACCGCTCCTGGCCTTTTGTTACTTGTTTTTTTGCTTAATTAAAACTTATGCGGGGCCCGGGCACGGTGGCTCATGCCTGTAATCCCAGCACTTTGGGAGGCCGAGGCGGGCGGATCACAAGGTCAAGAGATCAAGACCATCCTGGTCAACATGGTGAAACCCCGTCTCTACTAAAAATACAAAAAATTAGCTGGGCATGGTGGCGCGTGCCTGTAATCCCAGCTACTCAGGGGGCTGAGGCAGGAGAATTGCCTGAACCCAGGAGGCGGAGGTTGCGGTGAGCCGAGATCGCGCCATTGCACTCCAGCCTGGGTAACAAGAGCGAAACTCCGTCTCAAAAAAAAAACAAACAAACAAACAAACAAACAACAAAAAAACTTTATGCCCCCAGCTGGGTGCAGTGACTCGTGTCTGTAATCCTAGTACTTTGGGAGGCCAAGGTGGGTGGATCACAAGGTCAAAAGAATGAGACTGTCCTGGCCAACATGGTGAAACCTCATCTCTACTAAAAATACACACATTAGCTGGGTGTGGCAGCAGGTGCCTGTAGTCCCAGCCACTCAGGAGGCTGAGGCAGGAGAATCGCTGATACCCAGGAGGTGGAGGCTGCAGTGAGATCCCACCACTGCACTCCAGCCTGGCAGCAGTGAGGTAAGCCACTGTGAGTATAAAGGTTTTATTTTCGGCCGGGCGCGGTGGCTCAAGCCTGTAATCCCAGCACTTTGGGAGGCCGAGGCGGGTGGATCACGAGGTCGAGAGATCGAGACCATCCTGGTCAACATGGTGAAACCCCGTCTCTACTAAAGATACAAAACATTAGCTGGGCATGGTGGCACGTGCCTGTAATCCCAGCTACTCAGGAGGCTGAGGCAGGAGAATTGCCTGAACCCAGGAGGCGGAGGTTGCGGTGAGCCGAGATCGCGCCATTGCACTCCAGCCTGGGTAACAAGAGCAAAACTCCGTCTCAAAAAAAAAAAAAAAAAAAAAAAAAGGTTTTATTTTCTTTTTATGTAAGCATAAAAATTTTATTTTCTTTTTTTGTAAGGCTTTATTTTCTTTTTATGTAAGCATAAAGGTTTTATTTTCTTATTTTCTTTCTTTTTTTTTTTTTTGAGACGGAAAAATAAAACCTTTATGCCTCACCCTGGCACAGTGGCTTATGCCTGTAATCTCAGCAGTTTGGGAGGCTGAGTCAGGAGGATTCCTTGAGCCCAGGAGTTTGAGACCAGCCTAGGCAACACAGCGAGACCCTGTCTCTACAAAAAATTAAAAAGTAGCTGGACATGGTGGCACATGCCTATAGTCCCAGCTGCTGGGGAGGCTAAAGTGGGAGAATCACTTGAGCCCAGGAGTTCAAGGCTGCAGTGAGTCATGATCACACCACTGCACTCAGCCTGACCAACAGAGCAAGACACTGTCTTAAAAAAAAAAAAAAAAACCCCAATATTTATGCCTCTTTGGAAAACAAAACGAAAAAACCAAAAATCCCTAAAATGCTACCAACAAGTATGATAGCATAAGTATAATATTAGCATAATAATATAAACAAGAGAAAAAACCAGTTAAAAAGGTTTCTGGAAGGAAAGACTTTTTCTGTTATGATCAAAAGAAAACAAGAAAGAAAAAGCCATATGCCCTGTCAGGGGCATCCATTTACATCTTCTGGAATAATTCTTGCACAAACCTCTGTGAAGTAAGCCAAGAAAATCCTGTAGTTCCATTTTAAGGATGGGCAAGCTAAGGCCCATGGCAGTTAAGTATCTTGCCCAAAGTCAGTGGCCAACTTGGAGGCGAATGCTGGGTCAGAGGTCTTGCTCGAAGCCTGTGCCCCGGAGCCAGTCCCATCTGCTCCCCCCGTGCCTCCACCCCACCTCTGCTTGGCTCTTTGGTGGTTTTCTTCTGTGCTCCCTCCCTGATGCATCTGAGTGTGGCCTGAGTGGTGTTGTGCAAGCCCAGAGTGGGACGGTGACAGCCTCCCCTCCCCTCCCCCAGATCCGATCTGTGATCAGGAGGAGCCGGGAGACGGGCCATGCACACCCCATGTCCCGGGAGCCCTCCCCTCGCCGCCGGCTGGACCCTGCCACCCTGAGCAGGACCCCATCCCAGGAACGGCTCATCGCGGAGCTGCAGGGGCGGCTGGGCATCCAGCCTGAGGCAGAGGAGCCAGCGGAGGCAGCGGGGCTCTCTGCCCAGGACTGGCTGACCGAAGGCGTCGTCATCACTGTGCAGCCTCGTGGGAAGCGGGCTGGGGGGCAACTTGTAGAGAAGGTGGTGTGGAGATGCCCAGGGCCGGGGCTGGGCCAGGGCCAGGCACCCTGGGTCCAGGTTCTTCCCTGGCCCCAGTGCTGGCCAGAGGGGAGGGTGGGGGTTTCTTGCTTCTGTGAACTTGGAAGACTGACCCCACTCTTGGTGCAGAGTGGGAAGGCCCAGGGGGAGCCCGGGGAGGTCACTCCGTCCCCGCGGGCTGAGCTGGTGATTTCCCCCTCATTGCTCTCCCTCCTTTCTTCTCCCCAGGTTGTCTTCCCTCCTGGCTCTCCCATTCCCTTGAGAAGAACCATCTCTGTCCTGGCTTCTCCTTCTGTCCCTTTGCTCCAGCATCACACAGACGCCGAGGCCAGCAGCTCTTCTCCCCTGTCCAGCCTGCCCACTCCCTCCTCCCTGGGACCCTCAGCTTGCATCTGTGATTCTTCTGGGGTTCGGAGTGCAGGGGAAGAGCACCATGATGAGGGGGTGCAGGGCCCCACCCTTCCCACTCCTGTACCCCATACCGTGAGGTCCGTGGGCTGCCAGACGGACGAGGACCCGCTCTTCCCCCCAGTGCAGGCAGGCCTTAAAGGGGACCCTCCCTTTCTGCTCCCTGTCCTAGTGCCTGAGCCGTCCCCACTCTGCACACACACATGCGCACACACGTACACACTCAGATACCCTCCTTCCCTCTATCCACAAGCCCCAGCACAGTAACCACAGTCCTGCCTTAAACCTCGACCCTGGTCTCCCCCTCGGGAGGTCCGCTGCCCTCTCGCCTTTCTGTGGGTCCCTCCCATCTGTCCCTTCCTCGACTGGTCCTTGGGACTGCCGCGGGCTCCAATCAAGGAAGCCACTCCAGAAGGGAGACTAGAAACCTGCCTCCTCCCCTTCTGGCCCCTAGGCCCAGTACCTGGTGTGGCCTCTTCGCCCTGAGCCTGGCCACCTGCCCTTGCCATGTCCTCTGCCTGTGGTCAGCTCCCCTCCCTGTCCTTCATTTCTCCCTGGGCTTCTCTCTCGGGGCTCTTTTTCTCCAAAATTTTTTCCCCAGTTTTGGTCCTGCTGGTGGGGGAGAAACCCTCAGGTCTCATACTAGATTCCCTTTTAGTCCAGTGACAAGGTCTCTTATTCTTTCTTCTTTAATTTTTAAAAAAGATTTCTTCTCCTCATCTCTTCCCCTATCTAAGATCCAGGGCCTGGAGCAAAAAGCGGATGGGGAGCTGTGCTGGGCGGCCGGCTGGCCTCGGGACAGCGGGCGGAGCAGCCCTGGAGGGCAGGATGAGGGAGGGGTCAGTGCCAAGGCTGGGCTGGGTGTCCTGCGCCTCGTGCTCTCCCTGGGCTTGGCTGTGCTTGCTGGGTGCCCTGAGCCTTTCTGACCCCCCGTGGGCTCCTCTGACCACCGGGGGTCCTGCTGACGTCACACCCACTTTAGGGCTTTTGGCCCCTGGAGGAGGTTGTACTTCCTGTCTCCGTCAGCTCAGCTGTCCAGGAGGAAGAAAAGTCTCCCCATCCCTGTGCTGTCAGACACCATACCCTGAGCCTCAGGGGTCCTGACCAGCCCCCTCCCTGTCTCTACAGTTCATGACCCAGGGGAAGACAGGGAGCAGTTCACCTCCTGGGGGGGCCCCGAAGCCCGGGAGCCAGCTAGACAGCATGCTGGGGAGCCTGCAGTCCGACCTGAACAAGCTGGGGGTTGCCACAGTTGCCAAAGGAGTCTGCGGGGCCTGCAAGAAGCCCATCGCCGGGCAGGTGATGAGAGGGAGAGGGAGCGGGGTGGCCAGTGGACCCCTCTGCAGGGGTGGGGGTGCTCCGGGGCTGGCCTCGGCCCTGCACACATTTCATCTTCCTCCTCAGGTTGTGACCGCCATGGGGAAAACGTGGCACCCTGAGCACTTCGTCTGCACCCACTGCCAGGAGGAGATTGGATCCCGGAACTTCTTCGAGCGGGATGGACAGCCCTACTGTGAAAAGGACTACCACAACCTCTTCTCCCCGCGCTGCTACTACTGCAACGGCCCCATCCTGGATGTGAGTTCCTACCCGGGCACCACGCCTACTCGGCTCATTCCATCTTCACCGTAGCTCTCTGAGGGTGCAGGGGGCGCCGTCGGAGCCTCAGAGAGGTCACATGCCTGAGGCTCACAGGGCCAGGGAACAGTGTGGCCGGATTCAAACCCACACCTGAACCACAGCCTGTCCCAATGCGTGTCCAGCAGCCCCACCTCCCTTCACCTCCCATCTCGATTCCCTTCTGTGGAGACTCCCACCACTCAGGAGCCTGAGCAGATACATGGAGTTGGATGCTGGCTGTCTCCCGCCCCCGCTCTGTGAACTTAGGAAATGCCTGGCCTCTCTCAGTCTATGTTTCTTCACTTACAAAATGAGAGTCATAGGCCGGGCGTGCTGGCTCACGCCTGTAATCCCAGCACTTTGGGAGGCCTAGGCAGGCAGATCACCTGAGATTGGGTGTTTGAGACCAGCCTGACCAACATGGAGAAACCCTGTCTCTACAAAAATACAAAATTAGCCGAATGTGGTGGCACATGCCTATAATCCCAGCTACTCGGGAGGCTGAGGCAGGAGAATTGCTTGAACCCGGGAGGCAGAGATTGTGGTGAGCTGAGATCACGCCATTGCATTCTAGCCTGGGCAACAAGAGCAAAACTCCGTCTCAAAAAAAAAAAAAAAAAAAAAAAAAAAAAAGTGGTGGCATATGTACCTGTAATCCTAGCTACTCAGGAGGCTGAGGCAGGAGAATCGCTTTAACCTGGGAGGCAGAGGTTGCAGTGGGCTAAGATCGCACCACTGCACTCCAGCCTGGGTAGTAGAATGAGACTCTGTCTCAAAAAAAAAACAAAACAAAACAAACGTATTCACAGTAGAACCTGTGACCTCTACTTGGGTTGGGGTGAGGATTAAAGGAGAGGGTATGTATCTGGCATGTCCCATCCTCAGCAACTCTGCCTTCTTAGAGGCATTCATAGCACAATTAGCAGAGACCCGGATCCTGGGAGTGTTTTGCTCTATGTGGCTATGCGCTGCGGGTGGAGGACGGCCTTGCTGGGAGTCTCAGTCGTGAGATCTGTCCAGTGGGGTGGAGCTCAGCCTTGATCCACACTTTGTTTTCACAGAAAGTGGTGACAGCCCTTGACCGGACGTGGCACCCTGAACACTTCTTCTGTGCCCAGTGTGGAGCCTTCTTCGGTCCTGAAGGTACGGGCTGGGCCGACAGGCTGACTCGCCTTTCTTAGGAGGGCTGGGGAGGTAGGGGTGGGAGACGCTGCTGAGGCTGGAGTCAGGGTGGCTCTACTTCTGGAACCCTGAAAGCACTGTGCCTCCAAAACCCCCGCTCCCCAGGGTTTCACGAGAAGGACGGCAAGGCCTACTGCCGCAAGGACTACTTCGACATGTTCGCGCCCAAGTGTGGCGGCTGTGCCCGGGCCATCCTGGAGAACTACATCTCGGCCCTCAACACGCTGTGGCATCCCGAGTGCTTCGTGTGCCGGGTAAGGAGCCCCTGACCGCATCTGGAGGGGGCTGGGAGCAGGCAGTGGGGAGAGTGGGGTCTTCTGCATTGTGCTCTCTGGATCCAACTCCGAGGCCTCATTTGGGGTTATTAATAGGGGGAGCTGGCAGGGGGTCCAGTAGGTCCTGGGCCAGGACTTGTGCTGAGGCTGGGACAAACCAGGAGCAAGGTAGACATGTCCCCCTCCAGCCCTGTGCAGAGGCCCTGGCCATTCCTATCCGGAAGGAGAGTGTGTGAGAATTGAATGAGAGAATGCAAGTATTTAGCAGACTCAACAGAAGTGGGCAGTGGTTTCCAAAACCACTGCATTCTGGGGCCCCACAGAGGTTATTAGGGATTCATAAGGGCTCTCTGACCAAATGAGTTGGGGAAACACTGTTTCCTGCTTCCCTGCCAATACTTCTCAGAGCTTTTCTTTCCTTTTTTGTTTTTGAGATGATTTCTCCCTCTGTTGCCCAGCCTGGAGTGCAGTGGTGCGATCTCGGCTCACTGCACCCTCCACCTCCTGGGTTCCAGTGATTCTCCCGTCTCAGCCTCCCAAGTAGCTGAGATTACAGGCACCCACCACCGTGCCTGGCTAATTTTTTGTATTTTTATTAGAAACGGCGTTTCACCATGTTGGCTAGGCTGGTCTCAAACTCCTGACCACAGGTGATCCGCTTGCCTTGGCCTCCCAAAGTGCTGGGATTACAGGTGTGAGCCACCGTGCCCGGCCCCTCCTACGGCCTTTTCTACCTACATGTGCATGTGACTCTCCAATGAGAATCTGGGATGCAGAGTTTGACCACAGACCAGTGTCAGCTCCTGTGTTTCTGGGAGCACTGTTACAGCCACCTGGCTAAGCACCCAGAAGTCAGACCTATGTAAGATCCAGGCTGTGAACTCAGTAACTGCATGACCCTGGGCCAGTCACATCATCTGTGCACCTCAGTTGCCTCCCTGTTGAGAGAATTAAATATCCCAGCCCTGTGGGAGGCCAAGCTGGGAAGATGACTGGAGGCCGAGTTTGACCAGCATGGGCAATATAGTGAGACTCCCATCTCTACAAAAAAAAAAATTTTTTTTTTTTTTTTGAGGTGGAGTTTTGCTCTTGTTACCCAGGCTGGAGAGCAATGGCGCGATCTTGGCTCACTGCAACCTCCGCCTCTTAGGTTCAGGCAATTCTCCTGCCTCAGCCTCCTGAGTAGCTGGGATTACAGGCATGTGCCACCATGCCCAGCTAATGTTTTGTATTTTTAGTAGAGACGGGGTTTCACCATGTTGACCAGGATGGTCTCGATCTCTTGACCTCGTTATCCACCCGCCTCGGCCTCCCAAAGTGTTGGGATTATAGGCGTGAGCCACTGTGCCCGGCAAAAAAAAAAAAAAAAAAAAAAAAAAAAAATTAATATAATAAAAATAGGCCAGGTGTGATGGCTCACACCTATAGTCCTGGCACTCTGGGAGGCTGAGATGGGAAGATCACCTGAGGTCAGCTAGAAGTTCAAGACCAGCCTGGCCAATGTGGAGAAACTCCATCTCTACTAAAGAAACAAAAAATTAGCCGGGCGCGGTGGCTCAAGCCTGTAATCCCAGCACTTTGGGAGGCCGAGGCGGGTGGATCACGAGGTCGAGAGATCGAGACCAACCTGGTCAACATGGTGAAACCCCGTGTCTACTAAAAATACAAAAAATTAGCTGGGCATGGTGGCGCGTGCCTGTAATCCCAGCTACTCAGGAAGGCTGAGGCAGGAGAATTGCCTGAACCCAGGAGGAGGAGGTTGCGGTGAGCCGAGATCGCGCCATTGCACTCCAGCCTGGGTAACAAGAGTGAAACTCCGTCTCAAAAAAAAAAAAAAAAAAAAAAAAAAAAAAAAAAAGAAACAAAAAATTATCCAGGCGTGGTGGCCCATGCCTGTAATCCCAGCTACTCAGGAGGCTGAGGCAGAAGAATCGCTTGAACCTAGGAGGCGGGGGTTGCAGTGAGCCAAGATTGTGCCATTACACTCCAGCCTGGGTGACAGAGCAAGACTCAGTCTCAAAAAATAAATAAGTAAGGCCGGGCGCGGTGGCTCAAGCCTGTAATCCCAGCACTTTGGGAGGCCGAGGCGGGTGGATCACGAGGTCAAGAGATCGAGACCATCCTGGTCAACATGGTGAAACCCCACCTCTACTAAAGATACAAAAAAATTAGCTGGGCATGGTGGCACGTGCCTGTAATCCCAGCTACTCAGGAGGCTGAGGCAGGAGAATTGCTTGAACCCAGGAGGCGGAGGTTGCAGTGAGCCGAGATCGCGCCATTGCACTCCAGCCTGGGTAACAAGAGCGAAACTCCGTCTCAAAAAATAAATAAATAAATAAATAAATAAATAAATAAATAAATAAATAAATAAAATAAAAAATAAAAATCAGTGTTATTTTAGGACAGCATGGCACATGTGAAATGCCTAGCAAGTAGGATGCACCAGGAGTGTGCTGACACGCCCATCTCTGAGCCCCTCTCTCCACCTGGCAGGAATGCTTCACGCCATTCATCAACGGCAGCTTCTTCGAGCACGACGGGCAGCCCTACTGTGAGGTGCACTACCACGAGCGGCGGGGCTCGCTGTGCTCCGGCTGCCAGAAGCCCATCACCGGCCGCTGCATCACCGCCATGGCCAAGAAGTTCCACCCCGAGCACTTCGTCTGTGCCTTCTGCCTCAAGCAGCTCAACAAGGGCACCTTTAAGGAGCAGAACGACAAGCCTTACTGTCAGAACTGCTTCCTCAAGCTCTTCTGCTAGGCGCCCTGTCCCTGTCTCTGCCCCGCCTCCCCAGCCAGCATCCCCAACTGCTACTGTGACCCAGAGACCTCGCCCTGGGGTGAAGGGGTAAACCCGACCGAAACTGGAACCCTCCTGTCCATGGCTGGTGCAGGATGGACAGAGGGCCGTGAGGGGTCTCCCTGCTTGTCTTCACCCTTGCTGGAACCTCTGGGCCCCCTCCTTCCTCCTGCAACTCTCCCCAGGCCGCTCACTCTCCATCCTCCCCAGGGTTGGAGGCTGGGGGGCCCCACCCCAGCCCACGTATGTTCCCATGAACTGGCCTGGCCAGCACCCCACACTGGAGCCATCTCTTCCTCATATTTCAGCAGTGCAGCCAGGGGCGGGGGACAGGGAAGGGCAGGCCGGGTCTGTTGGGGTCTCTTTGTATCCTTATTTCTCCCCCCACCCCGACCTAACTGTCTTTGTTCTGTGAGTACTGGGGGACACCCGGCTCCCTCCAGACAATGCCAGCATAAATCCATCCATCCGAACCTAAGGGGCCACGGAAGGTTCTCTGTGCTCCTCCTCCCCTTCCAGTGCCCTAGGCCTGGACGACCGCCCCTGCCTTTACCCGCCCTCCCCTTTTATACCCGCTCTGGTTCTACTGAGAAAAGCCTCTCCAGCAATAATGTTTTATAGTCACTTCCTCCGTCTCCAGGATGGCATGCCTGGACACTGTACGGACTTTGATAGATTTCTACACTGAGGTTTGAATTCATATCGCCTGAGTTGCTTTTACTTCTGTATACAAAATGATTTTGAAGAGATTTTAAAGACGTTCCCTTTTGTATTCTCCTTGTCCACCGCCACCGGGCCTGTCGCTGACGGTGGCCTTGGTGTGGAGCTGGCTTTGTACTGAGGGCTGGGGTGGGAAAGCAATTTGTATTTTATGTTTTTTTGGCACAAGCAGGTGAACTGGGAGCAGCTCTGACTCCTGCTCTTTCACTTCACAGCTCACCAGGACTGTTTTATAAACTGCTGTATTTGGAAGCCCCTTCTGACTTCCCAGGCCAGCAAGCTCTTCACTGAAACTGGTTGAAGAGTGTCTCACCCTTTTGGGGCTGGAATTCTGAACCTCATCTATTCTGTCTCTGCAGGAGAAGGGGAAAGTCTGTTCTGGGGGGCTGCTTCCTGTCTGAGTAAGCCCTCAGGAGCCTCTGCTCCCCCGTGAACCCCTGAACCTTCTCAGCCTCTACCGCTTCTCTGGGGCTCTCTTCTGCCTTCTCAGGAAAGCGGGTGTCTGATTTTGGCCGTCAGGACTCTGACGTCTCATTGGTCTTGTTGATTTCCTCTGGGCATATCCCTTCCCCAGATGTGCTCTCTCGGGAGCCTGGGTCTGTCTCCTCCCCATTCACTTGTGGGATCGGCACCCAGGGGGTCTGGAAAGAAGGTCATAAGGGAGTGTGATAGGATTTGGGGCAGACGGACAAACTCCTCTGGGGAAACCCCCGGAGTTCCTGACTGAGGATGAAAGAGGAGCCCGGCCTTAGGCTCCTGATCAAGAGAAAGGGGCCCCACCGGGGTCTCACGGGGAGAGTCCAGACCACTCCACTGGCCTCCTGGCAGAAGCCAAGTGTGCTGGGGTCTCAGAAGAGGGTCCCTCTTTTGTGGTTGTGGGGAGGTCAGCCTGGCCCCTCCGGAGGTTTCCACTTCTACCCACAGGCCTTACCGCTCTGTTTACAGTGACCTGCCCTAGACCTTCCCCAAGAGGGACTGGGGTTTCTGGGGTCCACTCCCTGAGTCAATGGTTATTTGAAAATTTGATTTTCATTTTATCTTTTTCTCTGTAAACATCTAACCTGGCTTTTCCCATTTCAGTTCCTGTGATTTATGCCAATAAAGTTTGCCATGATTTTCACCGGCGTTAGTGCCATTTCTTGGTGGTCTGAGATAACCTCGTGGTCCCAGCAGAGACCAAACCCACCCCAGATGCAGCAGAGTCACCAGATTGAGGGTAAATTGTGGGTGTTTCCTTTCTTAAGGTCAAAATCCCTGGGGCTGGGGTCTGTGTTCCTTGCCTGTGGTCACGGGTCCTCCCCGTGTGCTTTGCTCTTGCTTGTTGGTGAGGACAGGCTGGGGAGCGGTGGACTGACCCTCGTGGGCAGGGCCCTCCCAGGGTGTGATCACCTGGGTTTACCGAGGGCAGCTGCACTCACATGGGCCTGTGGGTGGCCTTCCACTCATTTAGAGACAGGGAAAGAGACTCCGAGACAAGAACCTACATGTTCAAGGCAATCAGTGAGGGCAGAGCCATGATGCGAACCTCAGGCTTGCCTCTGCCTGTGTTTCTGCGCTGAAATGCCGTGCCTGAGCCCACACAACTTGGGTGGAGCCCCCTCCTGCTGCAGTCAGCTGCTTGAGTTGAGGATGGGTCTCTACTGCCTCCTCATGGTCACGACCGTATTTGCATGCTTCCTCTTTGCTCTGGTCAGATCCAGAGCTCCAGTCCTAGGCCCTAGAGCAACGGTGTCCAGTCTTTTTTTTTTTTTTTTTTACATACAGTCTCACTCTGCCCAGGTTGGAGTACAGTGGCACGATCTCGGCTCACTGCAACCTCTGTCTCCTGGGTTCAGGTGATACTCCTGCCTCCTGCCTCAGCCTCCTAAGTAGCTGGGATTACAGGTTGCCCACCACCATGCCTGGCTAATTTTTGTATTTTTAGTAGAGCCAGGGTTTCACCATGTTGGCCAGGCTGGTCTCAAACTCCTGACCTCAAGTGATCTGCCTCGGCCTCCCAAAGTGCTGAGATTTTAGGCATGAGTCACCACTCGTGGCTTTTTTTTTTTTTTTTGAGACAGTCTCGCTCTGTCCCCCAAGATAGAATGTAGTGGCATGCCCGTGGCTCACTGTAGCCTCTGCCTCTTAGGTTCAAGCAATTCTCATGCCTCAGCCTCTCAAGTAGCTGAGATGACAGGTGCCCACCACCATACCCAGCTAATTTTTTTATTTTTAGTAGAGACACGTCTTCACCATGTTAGCCAGGCTGGTCTTTAACTCCTGGCCTCAAGTGATATGCCCACTTTGACCTCCCAAAGTGCTGGGATTATAGGCATGAGCCACTGCGCCCACTGGGTGTCCAATCTTTTGGCTTCATTGGGGCCACATTGGAAAAAAAATTGTCTTGGGACACACATAAAATACACTAACACTAATGATAGCTGATAAGCTAAAAAAAAAAAAATCACAAATCTCATAATGTTTAAAGAAAATTTACAAATTTGCTTTAGGCCCCATTCAAAGCTTCCTGGGCCGCATGTAACCCACAGGCCGTGGATTGGACAAGCTTTCCCTAGAGCTTTCTAGCCAGCTTTGTTTCACCTTGAGCTGTGTCTTCACAGCTTCCCTGCTGTTTCGAATGGTTCTCCAAAAGCAGCATGTTGAATTCTAGTCTAAATCCTTCCCATGCTATAGTGAGCTCAGAAGTGAAAATTACCTGCAACCCTCACCCAAAGAGAATGACAGGACCAGGCTCTGTGGCTCAGGCCTATAATCCTAGCATTTTGGGAAGCCAAGGTGGAAGGATCACTTGAGTCTAGGAGTTCAAGAGAGTAACTTGGTTTATTCTTCTAGCCCATGTTGGATTTATCTTATTTCTAGAAATGGATATGCTAGCCGGGCGCGGTGGCTCACGCCTGTAATCCCAGCACTTTGGGAGGCCGAGGCGGGTGGATCACGAGGTCAAGAGATCGAGACCATCCTGGTCAACATGGTGAAACCCCATCTCTACTAAAAATACAAAAAAATTAGCTGGGTGTGGTGGCACGTGCCTATAGTCCCAGCTACTCGGGAGGCTGAGGTAGGAGAATTGCCTGAACCCAGGAGGCGGAGGTTGCGGTGAGCCGAGATCGCGCCATTGCACTCCAGCCTGGGTAACAAGAGCGAAACTCCGTCTCAAAAAAAAAAAAAAAAGAAATGAGTATGCTATATTTCATTGTAATTTGCTTTTCACTTTGCTTTGTGGATATTTTCCCATGTCAATAAATATAGATCTGCACCATTTTCTACTGGCTTCATGATATTCCGTTATATTGATGTACTACAATTAGAGGTGATATTTATATCATCGGAGCTAAGAGGTCCTTGGAAATGCACCTTTTGCATATGTATATACTTGGAAAAGTGCATTCAGAGGGGGCAGACTCAGGGTTTGGAAGGGACTGTATAGCACAGTGAGCCCCAGGGGCTTTGAACTTCCTCCTGGATTTCGGTTCTGAAGCCATCACTTAATGGCTGAGAGACTTGGGCAAATTATTTAACCTTTCTGTGAGTATTCTCATCGATAAAATGGGAGTACTAACACAGGACTGTATCTCCTCAGAGGACTGTTGCGAAGATTAGCTTCAGTAATGTGCACAGAGTACTTAGGATGATGCTAAGCGTGCAGTAATACATGGCCATCAAAAAGAGGTCTCAGGGTTGGACAAGGTGGCTCATGCCTGTAATCCCAGCAATTTAGGAGGCCATGGTGGGAGGATCACTTGAGTTCAGGAGTTTGACACCAACCTGGGCAATATGGCAAAACCCCATCTATACAGAAAATTAGCCAGGTGTGCTGGTATGCACCTGTAGTCCCAGCTCCTTGGGAGGATCGTTTCAGCCTGGGAGGTCAAGGCTGCAATGAGCTGAGATGGCTCCACTGCACTCCGCCTGGGCAACAGAGAGAGACTCCTTCTCAAAAAAAAAAAAAAAAAAAAAGAATTTGATGGAGGTGAATTACTCTGTGGGTGTCTGTTGGCTAGTTTTCTAGGAAGAGGAAATGGCCAATGCAAAAGCCCTCAAGTGAAGCCTGCTCTGAAAAAGCGGCAGGTAAGTCAGGGGGAAAACATCTGAGCTGATTATAGAGAGCATGACCTGCAGATAGGTAGGGACTTGTAGGTAATTTAGATTTCAGGTTTTACTCTGTAGGAAACGCAAAGCTTTGAGAAGATAAGGAGATGAGCTGACTTAAGGGTTTTTTTGTTTTGTTTTGTTTTGAGAGGAAGTCTCTCTCTGTCGCCTAGGCTTGAGTACAATGGCGCGATCTTGGCTCACTGCCAACTTCCGTATCCCGGATTCAAGCGATTCGCCTGTCTCAGCCTCCCGAGTAGCTGGGATTACAGGCATGCGCCACCACTCCCGGCTAATTTTTGTATTTTTAGTAGAGTCTGGGTTTCGCCATGTTGGCCAGGCTGGTCCTGAACTCCTGACCCTGTCAGGTGCTCCACCGGCCTTGGCCTCCCGAAGTGCTGAGAGTACAGGCAGGAGCCACCGCGCCCGGCCAGGTTTTAAAAGTATCCCTCTGTTTTGGTAGGAGGAAAAACAAACTAGAGAAACCAAGAGACCATTCTGCTCTAAGCAATGCAATTATGTCTCAGCCCCATGTCACGCTGTTTAGTTTGCTGAGCTGGCCAGGTGGCGGAGGGAACTCCGAATTAGCTTACTCTAACGCCTACAAGAAGGCAGCTCCAGCCCAGCAGGTGGCAGCAGCTCAGAGTAAGCGCCTCCAACGCCAGGCAGCGCCTTCCTTCACGATCCTACTTAAAGGCGGCTTCCCGTTGACTGAAGTGGCAGCGATATTATCCAATGGCTGCCTGTATTCGTTCGGCTTTGTTGGACGAGCGATGTTGCCAGCCAATAGACGGGGGAGGCTTATCTGCGGTTTCTGATTGGCTACTTTGTTCGCATATAAAATGAACGCTCTAGCGCGCGGCCCTTCTTTCGCCAGGCGTCCTCGTGGAAGGTTTGTGTGTCTTCCCGATCGGCGTCAGGGGCCGGCGGCGGGAAGCATGGAGGGATCTTTGGGGGCCTTTTGGGAACGTGGAGTCCTGTTCTTTTCCCCTTGGGGCCTCGGTGGCGGTTCGCACGCCCCGAGGTGGCAGCGGCTGCCCTAGGCCGGGCCGCCGGGCGCTTGCGCGTGTCCTGCTCTGCATAGGCCTGGGACCGGGGGATGGGTGCTGGGGTGACCAGGCCTGAGCTCCCTATCTCTCTTCAGTGACATCGTCTTTAAACCCTGCGTGGCAATCCCTGACGCACCGCCGTGATGCCCAGGGAAGACAGGGCGACCTGGAAGTCCAACTACTTCCTTAAGATCATAGTAAGTGCGGGGTGGGTCGCCGCTGCCCTTCATGCTGCCCCAGCTCAAATAGGGACAGTCGGTGCTAAGTGCTGAGGGTCTCCTCAGTTCCGGCTCCTGAATTAGGCCATTTTAGGAAAATCCTATTTAATTAACAATTCCTTGAGATAGGTCTCCTTTGTTGCAGATAAACAGACTCAGGCAAGTGGCATTCATATCCAGGTCTGTCTGGCTTCCAAAAGAGTGCACATTATGCTTTTTATTATTATTATTATTATTTTTGAGACGGAGTCTCTGTCGCCAGGCTGGAGTGCAGTGGTGCGATCTCGGCTCACTACAACCTCTGCCTCCCGGGTTCAAGCGATTGTCTTGCCTCAGTCTCCCGAATAGCTGGGACTACAGGCGCCCACCACCACGCCCGCCTAATTTTTGTATTTTTAGTACAGAAGGGATTTCACCATGTCGGCCAGGATGCTCTTGATCTCTTGACCTCATAATCTGCCCACCTCAGCCTCCCAAAGTGTTTGGATTACAGGTGTGAGCACTTTTGTTCCATCTTTGAGAAGGTCTGAGGTCAGGAATGACACATTGTAAGGAAGCAAGTTGTTGCATATTTAGGACCTGTCATTCAGGAAACTGAAGCGTCCAATGACTTTTCTTTTGGATGGCCTTTTAGGTGGGTCCCCCTTGCCCAGAAACACTGACCATACTGCACTTAAGCAGTTAGGCAGCATTGTAGAGCACAGCTTGTATTACGTTTTCCAATACTTTGAAGGTTTTCAGACACAAAACCCAAAAGAACTGTA